TCACATATCTTTGGCCTTTTGCTTTTCCATATAAATTTTAGAAGCAGCTTTGTCAAGTTCTTTAACAAAAGTTTTTTCAACAAAACCTTTGGGATCTTGGTTAGAATTGCAGTGACAATGTAGATTAGGTAGAACTGACATCTTTAAGAATGTGAGTCTTCTAATATGTGGCATGGTATATTTCTTCATTTATTTAGGTCTTCTTTACTGGTTTTCAATAAACATATATCTTATATATCTTTGGTTACTTTATTCCTGAATACTTTTTCCATTTTTATATAATTATAAATGAAATTGCATGTATATCAGCTTTTCACTTTTTTTGGTATATAGAATTGTACTTTTTAACATTGATTTGGAATCCAGGAAACTAACTAAACTCTATTTCTAATTATCTGTAAATTCTTTATGGTTTCTATATAACTGTTTATATCACTTGTGAATAGTAATAGCTTTGATTCTTCCCTCCCATCCCTTATAATTTTTTTGCTTTTTCTTGCCCTTTTGTGTTTGCTGAGACTATCAGTAAAATGTTAAATAAAAGATGCTTTCAAGTTTGCATCATAGTTATGAGGTTTGCTGAAAATTGTCTTCTAAACCTATTTTGTTAGAATTTGATATGATGGGTATAGAATTTTATGAAATACCTTTTTTCTTCATCAATTGAGATAGTCACTGTTTTTCTATTTTAATATGTCCATGTAAAGAATTATATGAATTGGTTTTCCAACATTAAGACAATCTTGTATTCCTGAGATAAACCCATTATGTTTTATTGGGTTTATTTCTCTCTATAAGATTTAGTAGAACCTTCTGGGCTGTGGGACTGTTGACATTTTAAATTATTGATTCAATGCATTTAATATTTATAGGCCATTTGTTTTCTTTTTTATTAAAAAATTAGTTCTTCAGAATTGCATCTTATTACCTTTTAGGCATCTATAGATCTGCATTACTGTCCCATTTCTCATTCCTTATATTGGTTATTCCTGCTTTCTTTTTTTTTTAGTGATTCTCACCAGACATTTGAAAATCTTATTCTTCTCAAATAAATAACTTTTGGCTTTACGGATTCTTGTGTATATCTGTTTCTACATAATTAATTTCTGCTCTTTATTGTTTCTCTTAATTTATTCTGTTAATTTTCTGACTTCTTAATTTCTACACTTCTTAATTTTTAGCCCTTCTTCTTTCCTGATATAAAGCTAGTAAGGCTATAAATTTTCCTATAAGTAAGTACCAGTTTAGCTTCACATATGTTCTTATAGTGTTCTTATAATCTGATTCCTAAATATTTTCCAACTTCTATTACAATTTTTTCTTTGATCTATAAGTTAGGCCTATATGTGTCTTAATTTGTAAACCTGTGGGGGTTTTCCAGGTTCTTTTTTGTTGTTTGTATCTAAATTAACTGTGCTGTGATCAGAGAATGAGGACAGCATGATACAATACTTTGAAATGTCTTAAGGATTGCTTTATAGTCTAGAGCTAAATTTTTATAGGCTTCAAAACAATACATCCTGCTTTTATTAGGTTCACTGTTCCATATATGACTACTTAAATAAAGCTAGTTTATATTATATGTATTACTTTGCTAAACCTGCCATAACAAAAAACCACAGACCGAGTGGCTTGAACAACAGAAATTTATTCTCTAACAATTTGGAGATTAGAAGTCAAAGATTGAAATGTTGCAGGGTTGGTTTCCTCTGAGGCCTCCCTTCTTGGCATGTAGACGAACACCCTTCCCTCATGTCTTCACATGGTCTTTCCTCTGTGTGTGTCTGTGTCCTAATATCCTCTTCTTGGCAGGACACCTGTAATCCATATTGGATGAAAGTCCACCCACAGGACTTCATTTTAATTTAATTACCTCTTTAAAGCTCTCTCCAAATATGGTCACATTTTGAGGTACTGAGTGAGGATTAGGACTTCAACATACGAATTTTTTAGGAGGCAGGGAGGGCAGACACAGTTCAGTCCACAACATTATACTTATCAAATTCTTTATATCCTTAAAGATATTTTTGCTTGCTTCATGAGTCAGTGACTGAGAGAAGTGTTCAAATCTTCCACTGTGATGACGAATGTTTCTATTTCTCTTAAAGTTCTGTCAATTTTTGCTTAATATACTTTGAGGATATGTTTTTTGGTTTTTTTTATAAAAGATTTTATTAGGGAATTAGGGGAGGGGAACAGCATCGGGGAAGAGAAACAGACAAGTTGCTGTCCTTTTTGATCTTCAGTCTAGTTGTGGAGGACATCGCTTCACTGGCCCTGAGGATATGTTAATAGTATATATAAGTTTAGAATTTTTATAGCTACTTGGTGAATTGAACATTTGATTATTATGTAGTTACCTTCCACCTTTAGCAATGCTTGTCTTCTATTTTGTCTGTTAAAATATAGTTATATTAGCTTGCTTTCTGTTAATATTTGTGTGGTAAATGTTTCCATCCTTTTATTCTCAAGTTTTTATTTTTTTGTCCTTCTGTTTTTTTGATGCGTCTTTTGTAAAAAGCATATAACTGGAGGGATTTATTCAGCCCGACAATATTTTTCTTTTAAACAGTGTATTTAGTATAATTATAAGTCCACTTGTATTTATTATAATTAATGATGTATTTTGATTTTTAATACTAACTTGCTCTTTTGTGAGAGATAGTATAGTGTTGTCTTTAAGAGAACAGATACTAAGAAATACTGCCTAGGTGTGAATACCAGTTGCATTACTACCTGTGTAACTCAGTCTAATTACTTTAAACACTGTGGCTCAGTTTCCCTTACTGCAAAATGGCTATAATACCACCTTGTAGGGCTCTTATGAAGTGAGTCAATATCCATAGTACATACTGCTGAGAACAGTGCTGGGCCCGTACATATTATATACATGTTTTCTGTTAATATTTCATTATTATAATTATCACTTTAAATTGACTATTTTCTCTGTTTCTCTCTTCTTTACTTCTTTTTTCTTTCTTCTATATTGATAGAATATGTTTTTCATATTCTATTTCTTTCCTTCCTCCAGTTTGAGAATTATATTCTCTGTCCTATTCTTTTAGGGATACCCTAGAAATTTATCAAGAATACTTAAGTTATTAAAGTTTAAAGTTAATTCTTATCTTTACCATCTCCTGAACATTACGAAAACTTCATAATACTTTTAACTCTGATTACCTCCATTCTGATTTATACACTATCATTGTACTCATTTTAAATTAATTTTAAGCCTCATAAATTATTATTGCTTTATATACTCAATAATCATTTAGTTTTACTCACTTGTCTACCATCTTCTTTACTAATCATTCCTTTTTACAGCACAAAATTTCCATCTGGTAACACTTTCTTTCTGCCTGAATTATACCTTTTAAATTGGGCCTTCTGGTGGCACTATTCTGTTTTTATTGTCTGAAAATACCTGTATATCATGGTTAAAAAAAAAAAAGGAAATGTAACAATAAGAGGGTTTGTCAATAAATTTAGGTTGATAGAAACCTTCTTTTAGCATTTTGAAAATATAATTCCTTAGTTTATTTCTAGCTTCTATATTTGCTACTGAGAAGATTGCTTTCAAAACCATTGTCTTTGGCGTTCTTCAATATCACTAAGATATTTGAAATATGAGTTTCTCTTTAATTTATCCTAGCTGTGGATGGATATATTTAATCCATTCTAGACAATTCTCAGCCATTAAATCTTCAAATATTACCTCTGCTCTTCATTTCTTTATGAAAGTCTTAACTAGATATGTTAGATCTTATTGCTCTATTCCTTGTGTCTTTTAACCTCCTTTATAGTTTACTTCTGTTTTTGTGTTATATTATGATTAATCTCCTCAAATCTGTCATCCACTTCACTAATTCTCTAGTTGTTAAACCATTCATCAAGTTTTTCAAATTTCAGATGTTTTCATTTTTATTAATTTCAAAATTCATTGGATGGTTTAAAAAACAACTTTTTTTTTTTTTTTTTTAAATTCTGTGCCTGGTAAGTGTAGGATTTGAAGTCTTTCTGGGTCTGATTTGGCCTTCTGGTGTTTCTACTGGTTCTCACTCAGTATGCATGTTTGTATGTGTAATGTTTCCTTTCCTCCTCCTCAATCTCTCAATCTCTCTCTCTCTCTCTCTCTCTCATTCTCTCTCCTCCTATCTCCTCTCTCCTATCTGTTTATACTACGAATTCATGTTTCTTGCAATTTTGTCGTGCTTCTTGAGGCCTGGGTTGATGGGCCATTCACATTAGCTAGTGCTTAGGAGCATGTCTTGCACTAGACCGTTTTAAACTAAATTACCAGCCTGGGCTTTCTCAGAACACACAGGTGTGGTAAATGTGGGCCGGCAACCAGCGTGCCGACTGGCTTGACATTACACAGTGTTGGGGCACTCCTTCCTTCCCCAGCTCAGCACCAACACTCGAGAATAACCAATCCCCTGCAGATTTGGAGGCATGGTGGTTTAGAGAGCACACAGCCATGCTGGGTGCTAGCTTTATGTGGGGCGCTTCCTATTAGACTCTTCGCCTAAGCAAGCTCTGGGTTTTACCTCTCCCAACCAGGACCATATATACAAGTGTGTACTGCACAACTTTAGGGGCATTTTATATATATATATATATATATATATATATATATATATATACACACACACACACACACACATATATAGTCTATATGACATATGTAGTGAACCTGTCTTCATTCCCACGGGACGGTAAAAACTAAAGCTCAAGTTCACTAAGTTTAGTAATTGCTTCAAAGTGAAAGCTAGGTTCAGTTGCTTTGGTTTTGTAATTGTATAACTGATAGATCTTAAATGAAGAGTCAAGACTGTGTCTCCCCACTTCAGCAGTCCTATAAAGGGTAGGTAGCCTCAATATATTACAAATAGAATTGATTTGCAAATCATCATTTCAACAAAAATATCTGCCACTTGCCCCATTAAAGGAAACATAGCATGATAAGAGGGTGTTCATTGCTTTGCTTTGTTTATTTTTAGATGCGGACTTTCCTGTTGTTCTCCAGCCCTCAAATGTAAATGAGAAAACACAGCTAATCAGAGAAGGACCTCGAAGTTATTGCACAGACTCTTAATACTGAGCCCAATGAGGGTCCACAGTGCCTCCTCTTGGTTCAGCCATGTCTCCAGGTGGTCATGGGGGGAAGGTAGGGGACATGAAATGCTGTGAACTTTTCCATATTTGTATTTTATTTTTAGGTACGGAAAGATAATAGCTACATAACTTCCTCAGTATGCACATTCACTCTTTTGAATAGAATTCCTAATGAAACACATTCCAGTTCAATGAGTAAAAGCCTGAAGAGTTGTTTTATGCTCCTTGCATGAGGTAAGAAAGTGGCACTGGACAGGCTTTATAAGCCTGCCCTTTATGTGAGCCAGACCTCATCCCTTACAGACTAAAGTAGTAGTCCAAAGTAAAGGCCACTTTTCATCTATTTAGCTAACGGCAATATTCATCTCTACCATAAATAGCATTAGCAAAACGTACGTGAGCATTTAGGAGAAATTTTTCATGTGTGTGGAGATCTTTCCTGTCAATATTCAATATGGCTACAGAAATTTCAAGAGGCAGGAAGAAACTGTTAGGTAAAAAGAAAAAAAGACAAACCATATTATTTTAAAGTATATTTTAGAAAGATTAAAAATTGTCATTCACTGAAAACTGACCAGTAAACCCAGGAAGAACAGGTTTTGTGTGTACTTTTCAATTGGCAGCAAAAACAAAACTTCAACCTGGTTAAATGTTATAAATGATCCAGAAAATCATTCTGAGCCTAAACCAGCTCCTAACAATGTGCTGACCATTTTTAAGTAAAAATAATTTCTGTACAACTGGCCTAGATTAGCCAGACTAAACAATAAAAAAACAAAAACAAAAACAAAACAAACCATGAGGTAAAGGGTAGAATTCTAAATTCTATAGCCTAAATTTAAATTTAAATTTAAAGGCATATCACTTACCCCATTTTTGGTGGGATTAATTACATTGACCAGAAAACGCTCAGCCCTGTGCATGTTGAACATTTAAGTTTAGAGGTCATCTCTGCATTTACTTGTTTGAGCCTCATATTCATTATATGGTAGAAACCATGTGCTATTTCTAAAATAGTACAGCAGCAAAAGTGTTTGTTTTTCTAGGTCTTTCTTAGATCTTTATATAGCATTGCATTTTTCAAGATCTTGTTATGTTTTTATATAATATTATGAAATGTCATTTTCTTTTTTCTTTGTTTCTTATCACCAAATTACAGTTAACTGAAGTTAAATACACATTGTGAGAAATGGTGTGATGGTTCTGACAGTTCTGACGTCATTAAAACTCTGCTCTAACTCTTGAGTTATTGGAATTTTTTTTTCATCAACATAATCAAGTAGAAAGAGCCCTGGTTTGAAAGTTGAAAAATTTGGTTCTGATCTAAGTTCTCACTAGCAATTTGTTCACTAAGTTCAAACTAGCAATTTGACCAAGTGAGATGAGAATAACATGGCTAATCTCCCAACGACTCTGTTTTCATATTTGCTCTGCCAAGTTTCAATTTGCCTTCCAAGTTGCTGTGAGATCAGATGAAATAATTGAGGTGAAAGAACTCGGAAAAGTCAGCTGTTTAACAAATATAAGTGGTCTTGCATCAATTTGTATATGTGGATACTCATAGACAAATGTAATGTGACGTCTTATGTATATAAACTCTTGCCTAACAAGACCCAGAAAGACGCCCAGTACTAACAGCTTTAGTGACCAGCAAATGCTCAGAACCCTATACTCAAGAAACAAGTGCTACTTTCCATTTGAAGGGAACAATAAGATAAATACCCCACCTGTGAATCATTTGAATCACTACATTTCCTTCCTAAGGACTCCAGGCAAAAATCAGGCCTATTTTTGAATAGCAACCTGCACATCACAAAGCTCATCTTCCGTTTCTCTCCCAGACCTCATTTTTCTCTCCCACACAGGATTTTTCACTTACATTCCTAGCTTGCCCAGAGAGCTGGTACAAAATGAGAACAGGGCATGAATTAGAATCAGATGATGAAATTAAATTCCTGGAGGGGTTCTGGCAAATATTTCCTACAAAGGGCTAGTTTCTGGTTACAATGATATGTGGCGAATGCGAGCACAGGAATGCCTAAGGATGAGAGAGTGAATTCCACAGAACGCCCCTTTGGCTACCTCCATAGAAACAAGGATGAACTCTGCATCTGAGGAGGGGCTGCTTAAGTGTCTTGTAGGGAGTCAACAGGAGCTCCCATCTGGAATCACAGCAGTTATTCTGAATCCACAAGCACCTTATCAGAAAAGCATCAAGGAAAGAAGGGATGTACCGACCATAATCCTCAGCATGGTTGCGGTGGCCCTGGTTCATGCAAGGTCAAATGAACCACCCACTTTAGCGGCCCACAAGCTAACCCTGGCCTCTAAGATTTCATATAAAGCTTCATAGGTCATCCATTTATTTTTTTTTGCTGTCTTATTTTAGAACATAATTTTAATAATGTGCATTTTTCTTTACCAAAATACATATATCTTAATTCTTTGAGAATAAATGACATTCTATTTCTACATTTCAAGTGGTATGTAGGCTCACACACATTTGACATGGCCTAGCCTGGAAATCCACTTACCTGGTAATGCACTGCTCTGACCTACAGAGAGGGTTCCAGTTAAGGCTACATGATCTCTGTGGTATGCACAACAATGGCCCTCTAAGATGTGTATGTCCTAGTTCCCAGAAGCCGCAAATATATCACCTCTCATGGCAACAGGGACTTTGCAGATGTGCTTACTCAGGACCTTGAGATGGGGAGATGATCCTGGACTACCCGAGTGGGCCCAATCTAAGCACATGCGTCCTTAAAAATGAAGAATCTTTCCTGGCTATGGAGAGGGAAAGATGTAACTACAGAAGAATGGTCAGAGAGATGAACTGAAGAGCAGAGAACGGTCGGAGATATGACTTAAAGATGGAAGAGGAAGGGGCCCATGAGACAAGGTGTGTAGGCAACCTCTAAAAGCTGAAAAAGCTAAGGAAATGGATTCTCCTCTAGAGCTTCCAGAAAGAAACACAGCCCCAGCACCACCTTGATTGTAGCCCAGTGACATCTATGTCAAACTTCTGACCTCCAGAATTGTATGAGTATGAGTATGTTTCTTCATACTCCTTATTTTTTTTCTTTTTATTCACTGGTTAAATGAGTCTTTTTAACTTCCTTCTTCTCCTTTGCCCTTCTCTTCCCCATTTCTCAGTACTCTATCTCCTCTGTCTTCCTCCCTTCTCCCACTTCCATCATTCTTCCAGTTGACCCTCATTTCTGTTTTAGTTTCCTAATCTCTCTGCTCACTACTGTCAACTCTCTACTTTAACATTTACTGGTCTTTTAGATAAACTGAACTACTGTGACTCTATTCCAACTGGTGGGGAAGGAGAGAGATTGAAAATAGACGAGGTAACAGAATAGTCTTAAACAAATGTCTCCCCGCTCCCAACTTCAAGCACAAATAATCACAATGCTAATAGGTGAAGGGCAAACAAAGTATTTTTCAAACAATTCTCCAAGTGTATTGACAAACGGAAATAATTTATAGTGACCACATTCATTATTTGAATGTATGGTAGGTAATTTATTGAGATATTAATTTTGTTCTGTCCTTAGCGCTTTAGGGAGCTCAAAGGAATGAGGGCTTTTCTACTGAGCTTCACCTTAAAAAGGTCACTCGCTTGCTACCATTGCCTTAGAGGTTAAAAACAAAGGTAGTCAGACGCCTGGAAAACAACTACCCAGGCTTTTGTTTGGGAGCTTGAGCTGTTAGAAGGGCCATTAGAAAGATGTTAGAAATCTGAGGAAGAGAAGAACCCCAATCATGAGTGGCCTCTAGACCAAAGATGGGTTTGGAAGTTTTGGGGGGAGGTCCCAGAGTAGCCCAGACTTGTGTCCCTACAGGAAAGAACCTCTATGATGAGGTAACACTTGGATGCCTAGGGGACAAAATTAAGTCATGGTTTTGTAGCCATAAAAAAAGACTCCTGTGCCCACATTGGGCCCTGAAAGGAACCATGCAGGGTCAGACACTGAGACCTCGGGAACAACCAGGCTAGAGCAAGATTCGGGGCTCGAAACTCACTCAGAAACTCACTCACGTGGAGGACTAAGACATAAACCCCTGCAGACCCCTTAACAGCCCTACCAAAGCGAGGGAAACCAAAACCTGGCTGAGATAAATTTCTTGCTGGCCTGTTAACAGCAGCTTTGAGTCAGAGTCAAATTGATTTAGAACAGATAATGTACTCTGAGCATCAGGAGACTTCCCTACATTTTTTCTCAAATATCACTTCTCCACAGGCTTGCCCAGACCCCTCTTCCTAGAACTGTCACCTCACCCTTCCCATTCTCTGCTTTTTCTCCTCATTGCCTTTCACTGACATACTTTCTATCTGGATTATTATCTGTCTCCCACACCACAAGGGCAAAGGTTTTTACTCTGTTTTTTGTGTCCTGCTGAATCCTTAGTGCTTAATTTAAAACAGTGCCTGACACGTAGTACATGGTCAGGGAATACCTGTTAAATGAGTAAATTAGCCTGAGTCATAGAATAGAGAAATCCCTACTGCTAGAAACACAAAAGCTGCTAGAATCCTCATTTTTAGGGAAGCTTAGCATTAAATTAATACAAAAATTAATATGTTAGCACTCAATCTCACGCCTCTAACCAAATTACAGAATTAACTTTTTAAAAAATTTCCCCAGCCTGCCCTCCCTTAATTTTCACTGATATACAGACAACCATTTCCAGGGCATCAGTCCTTCTCCAAGCAGAGAAAACCTTTATTCAAGAAACAAGGATCCTCCTCTCCAAACCCCCGTTTTCCCAGCCTGCAGTCCTCCTAAGCACTTACGTCACATTCATCTTCATATTATTCCTGAGCAGCTCTAGACTAGAAAAGGCCAGAAATTTAGATTAAGTCATATATAACCAGTTTCTGTCACACAAATCCATTTCCAAATTGTAGGAGGCTCAAATGAGCAGTGATTCCCAGAATCAGAGTTTACATCTGTATTTTGCACGGTGCTAAAAACAAAGTAGGAAATCAATGCATACCTGTTGATTATTTGATTAATTCTCAAACATATGCCATTTCTAAGAAAAGCATTTCTCCAAGGCGACTTAAACATG